CAACTTCATTGACAGAGGGTTTGACCATACACATTGTCTAGAGTATTCGTTACTTTTGGCGGGATCCAATTACAACGTTTAGAGTACCTTTAAATTCAACCAATCACAGAGCGAGCCTAGGATCTTGTTCAGCGACTAACAGGTTAACTTTAACATTAGGTAACAGGGTCCTATCTATAGTTTCTATCTCCAGGCCTCTCCCTTAACAATGTGGAGGGTGGTCGCTGGCCTTTCTTGATTGGTTGTTGCAAGGGTGGTTTCTCCTGCCTTGGGCAATGTGTAACTGCCTGATAGTTTCCGGGAAGCTGAAACTCAGGCCTTCTAGTTTAGAGGGGAAACTTAAAGCCTGTCATGGAGTCAGTTTGGTTTAGACGTTTAGACTTGTGGCCTTACAAAAGTACGTACAAAAGCTGTTTTGTAAGTGTGGATCCAAAGTGTTACATAATAAAAGGAATGTCCTTGCCTTTTATTCTCAGTATTTGTGTTATACATTTCCAGTTTTTCAACATGTCCTTTTAATTTATAATCCACTATCTAGTCAACCAACACATGAGTATGGAGTTGAGGCTGACTTGCTGCTTTGGTATACTTAATAACCTCCATCTTTGTTGACTTGTTTTAAATTTATGGAGCCTGTGCTTTTATCAATACTATACACACTTTCAATTTTCAGTTTTGAACTCATTTTTATAGCGTATGTACAAAATGAGGTAAATATTCAATTAATTCTAGAAAGACAGAGGTGCAGGCAGTCCACTGAACAAACTCAGTGTTCCTGGCCAAAGGTAAACTTATTCCATAGGAAATGACACAGGGAGATAGGTGGAAGCATCCATTTGACTAGAGGCCAAACAATGACAACAACCCCTCCCCATTAATTTAGCATATGAAGAGAGGTTAAAGAATGTCACTGAATAGTGCTTGAAAGAATAAGTTGTATAAAAGTTGAACATCAAAGACTCACACAGATACTCATAGAGTTTTTCCAGCACAGTTGCTAGAAATGGGTTGCAAATGTGTCCCATAGATCATGGAAGAGAGAAAAAAAAATCAGTTACAGGTTTTACAGTGTCATGAAATTAGAAAAAAATCCATGTTTTTGAGCAAGTTTTCAAAGAGAAAATCTATGCATATGACTACTTGATCTCTCTCCCTTTAAGAGTCAATAGGATGACATTGTGGAAAAAAGCCTTCAATGGGTATCATTGTTTCTTGTTTTCCACAACTTCTCAAAGTACGGAAGTTTGTCAAACGACAAGATTGACTTCTAAGCCTACCTAAGAATCTGGAAACAAATTTGTACTAGGTACAGATTTTTTTAATTTGTATTCAAGCTTAGCGTAGTTCAAGAGAAAAGTAACACATGAGGAAGGGATGGTATCACAATCAAGGAAAGAATGGCATGGGGTTTTAATTTCAATCCTGGTTCCACAGGTTAGTATGATGGGAAATTCAAGTGTCAATTTGGTCTCTGAAGTAAGAACCACACTAAGTAGGTTGAATTTATCATTATTATTACTATCTTGAGGGGAGAGTCTGCATATTTTCTATTATATTTATGATGAACCTTGTTTTTTTTTTTTTAGAACAGGAAAAAATTAGAATTTTGGTTATTTAGAAAACTTTAGCTAATTCTCTTTTTATCTGGGTTTAGCAAACTCAGCAAATAAGTGTTAAACTCTTAGCCTAGAGCCATGTGAATTTCAAGGGAAATTAAATCTGTTTCTGATTTAGCTATACATTACTTGTTGAAATATTATTTGGTAGAAAATGCTTGATGTCCAGAAACCTTATGAGCCATTTTATCATCTTCTTATTTGATCCAGGAAGTTGATTTTCATGGATAGTAAATAAAGTTTATATCTGGAAAGATGAAACCATGAAGTCTATCAATATGGTTATTATAGTTTATACTCCAATCTTTGCAAACAGATTGAAATGGCTTAAAATAAAAGCACCTTCAATAGGGAAGTTAAAAATAAAGGTAAAATTTGAGATAAAAAAAGATATAAAGAAGAGAAAAATATTACATGGGGAGAAATTTAAAATATATCAAAATTGTTCTGAGCTTCCTGACCACCAAGGCAAAAAGGAAAGTAGATGGTTTTATGTGAAAGCAGTCTGACACTTTCATCCTGGCTAGTACACCCATCATGTTATGAGTGCAAAAGCTAAGTAAAGAAGCTAACAATACTGGAACGCCTGTTTAGCAGTACTTCTCAAAATAAAGAAAAACTTGAGCCTTCTTGCAAAGTACTTCCCAATGGAAATAGCTTCATCCCTTTCGAAATCACATGAGAAAATTATTATTTTTAACCAAAAACTGTAAGGACACAAGTCTCAACCAAACTGACTCCATGACAGGCTTTAAGTTTCCCCCTCTAAACTAGAAGGCCTAAGTTTCAGCTTCCCTGAAACTATCAGGTAGTTAGTTACACATTGCCCAAGGCAGGAGAAACCACCCTTGCAACACCCAATCAGGAAAGGCCAGCAATTCACCCTCCACATTACTAAGGGAGAGGCCTATAGATATAAACTATAGATAGGACCCTGTTACCTAATGTTAAAGTTAACCCGTTAGTCGCCGAACAAGACCCTAGGCTCGCTCTGTGATTGGTTGAATGTAAAGGTACTCTAAACGTTGTAATTGGATCCCGCCAAAAGTAACGAATATTCTAGACAATGTGTATGGTTAAACCCGCTGTCAATAATGTTGAATAATTATGATTGGATCACTGTTCCCATGCCACAACTTCTGTAACTCCCCTGTCTCAAACCCCATAAAAACCCTACTCTGCCTTTGTTCGGGGCTCACAGCACGGATCCACTGCACTGGTAAAGTCTGTGAGCCCGAGCTCGAGCCCGTAATAAAGCCCTTTGCCTTTGCATGCGTGACTCGGTCTCCCCGGTGGTCTCTGGTGTTGAGGATACTGCAATCTGGGTATAACAAAACAACTAAAAAATGAAAACCGGGTAATTTAGTAATTATGTGGAAATTCTCATTAGATGTGTGCTAAGTTTCAAATATACCTTGAGGCCCACAATGTAGAATATTACGTTTTTTTCAGGAGGGTAACTTGAAGGTAGTTAAAAGAAACAAATTTGAAAATATTTGCTTATGCAGCGTTGGCTTTCAAAAGTTATTTTTAAAGACTGAGGAATTAAGCACCTGTCGTTTCTGCCAGCTGGTATAGATGTTAAAAATTACTGTCACTCTTCCACTCGCTGCTCTACTTTGCACCTGCTACTACTTGAGTTATGGGCATTTCACACATGGTAATTTAATAAGGTTAAGTCCCATGGGAGTGTACAAGATGTTATTCCACCGGGAGTTAAAGCAGTTTTATAAGATCTTGAGGGAAAAGCAATAAAGATGAAGCTTGAGACTAAAACTTTGTACCTTGTAGACACCACGTTTTTCTAATTGAAAAATGTTAAAGAAGTGAAATTTAGCCAAATATTCCACAACAAAAATGAGTTTTTTATGATTGGATTATTTGTGCCAGCCACTTTCTCTCATGGTGACATTTGTCATTTTTAAAAAAACATTTTTATTGCCTGATGTGACAACCAAATTAAATATATATTGAAACCTGTGCTGTTCAATATGGTATTCATGAGCCACATGCAGCTATTTAAATCAATTAAAGATTTAATTTCACAGTCACACCAGCCACATTTCACATGCTCAGGTGCCACATGTGGCTAGCGGTTACCAAATAGGACTATATACATAAAGATGCCTATTTTACTGAAAGTCCTATTGGGCAGGGCTGTGCAAAATTTCCAAATCCTGATCTTATGCAAACATGGCCTTAAGGATCTTGAGGCCATAGTGAATTTTCCTTAGAAGAGTGATTATAGGGGTTCCTGAGTGGCTCAGTCAGTTAAATGTCTGACTTTGGCTCAGGTCGTGATCTTGCGGTTCCTGAGTTCCAGCCCCACGTCAGGCTCTGTGCTGACAGATCAGAGCTTGGAGCCTGTTTTGGATTTTGTCTCTCTCTCCCTCACTGCCCCTCATTCGCACTCTCTCTCTCTCTTTCTCAAAAATAAACAAAAAAAATTTTTTTTTAAAGTGATTATATTTTCGCAACATCATCTTGGCTACCAAAGCATAGGTCAAAAATGAAGCTGTTGGCTCCTGGAAAAGTGAGTGCCTTTTGGTAAAGATGAAAGGGCATGTTGACCTGAAGCACCCAACATCAGGAAAAAGTTTCAGGTTCTAGAACTGTATTGGAGGGCAGGAACTTTTCAGAGATTTTATAATCGCACATGTTACAGATCTCATTTTAGAGAGTGGGAGAACTATTTGTCACTTTCTCTCTTCTGTATAGATGACTATTAACTTCCAAATTTTGCCTCTGTTCTAAAGAAAAAAGTGATACATGGTAGCATGCTCAGAGGATAAGTAAGTTTACACTCTGAACTTTATAATCAATTAGCCTTCATTTAGGATAAGTGTTAAAAGATTGAACCAAGATTCAGGGACATGGACACACAAAGAAGAGGGGTCATAGCAGGAGACAGAATATTAATAGACAGGCTCTTGAGTAACAATCTCATACAGAGAGGTTTTTTAAAGTAACCATGGAAAGGTCACTTCAGATTTTATCCTTGAAGACATTCAAGTGAGAAGGATCAGGTCTTAGTAGGACTTTCTGTTATGAATAGGCTAGATTGCTACTAGAAGTGATAAGTCAAGCTGTGAACACAATGATTTACACAAAACTTAAAAAACCTGCTTTACTCTTAAATTGCCTGAATAGTTTATATTAAAACGTCTCTGATCCTACCTGAATTTCCTCAGTTCTCTATTTCACTTTTTCAGTAATAGGTGATGATGATTATTCCATTTGCTTATTGCTATACAGACTACAAGGACTTATTCTTTAGAAGCTCACAAATCATCCATATTTTGTACATTAACCAAAGACTTGAAAATTTAAAAATTATTTTCTCTAAGCAAGAAGATAAAAACACAATGCAACTTGGACATTCCCGACTGACCAGAATTATTTATTGATTTAGTTTTTAAGGATGTTCAGTGACCCATGGTAAAAAATAAAGAGTGGTGCTTGAATTTGAGGTTGTATTTTATCCTTCTTGTCTAGAGCAGAAGACACTTGGCTTGTATGGTATGAATACAATTCATAGAGGAACGTGAAGTATACAAAAATTCAGGGAGTCCTTCAGTCTAGAACAGTCCACATTGTTTTGTTTCCTGAATGATGGTACACAGATCTGAGCAGTGAGTCATGAGTGTTATTGCAATAAGTTTCCAGCCAGTTGTCCTAAAAATGCTTGATCTATAAAGGAAAAGGGAAAATGAGTTACATGTTGATTGCATCTTTTCAGAAAGAGAGCTGGAGAGGAAATAATCTGAAGTGGAAGAGAAGAAAAGGCACAAAATGAACCAGCACATCCAAGGTAAGCCATTTCCTACTTATAATAACCTAGTTTCAAGTGCTTAACTTTGAACTGTGATAACCTCGTTTTTTAGCGCAGTCATTGTTAAAAAATTACACCCATTATTCAAAGAACTTAGGCCCATATTTTTATTAGTGATATGTTCCAGATAAATTAGTGAACTAGTCTCTGGCTTGTTTGAATCTTCACTGCATAATTACAGTACAATCAAAGCTAAGGTTTATAGATGGAAGGAAAGGACTCTGAAATTTTTGCTTACAAACTGACACAAAAATGCTCTATTTCCAAATAACCAATTTCAAGGGGTTGATGTTTTCTGGTAAATATAAATAAATCTTAATTAAGAACTAATGCTAATTATGTTTATAGCACAAAGTGAAACTCTTAAAATTTTAAAAAAAAATACAGCATCAAGAAAGAGTTTATAAAGAGTGAACAGGTATTTACCTTGACAGCTCCATTTAATTAGACATGATATGCTTGACAAAAGCTGTGGGCATAATACAGACAGTTTAGAGTTAGAAAAATATCAAGTTTAATAAAAGAGAGGTTTAGCAAGTTAGTTCAATGTTAATTGTCCTTAGCTGTAATACGAGCATTTGTTTTGTTTTAAAACTCTGTACAGTCTACTATTCTTCATCCTGGGTTCATGGCCTTTCTTAAAACTTTGTGAATTTAATTTTTGGAATAAATGGTACATTCACATGGTTAAAAGTTTTCTTTAAAGTATGACAGAGTTAATAATAAAAAAGAAATATTCCTCCCCAGTGTCCCCCATCTGTCTAGTTTCTCTCTTTGTGGCAAAATTGGTGGAGCTATTATGCATGTATAAGAAAATACAAATATATGTTTCTAAAACTCTTTTTCACCCTAATGGTGGCATATTCTGCAAACTCTTTTTCTGTTTCTTTTGTCACTTAATGATCATAAACCAGAGTATCCTTATTTATTTTTTGGTGGTGGGGAGCTGTGGGGAACTTCATTGTGTAAGTGTACCAGAGTCTGTTTGATGAATACAACATTGGCAGACATTAACTTGTTAAGGTATTTGGCTATTTCCAACAACAATGTAATGAATAACCATGTATCATTTTTTCAAGTGCAAGTATATCTAAAAACTATATCCTGTGACATAGATCCACTAGAATTAATAGTACTACATAACCATATTCTGATTTTAATGATTTACATTCCCAACAGGAATGCATGAGATTGCCTCTTTCTATCCACTCTTCTCAACCCAAACTGTTGTCACACTTCTAATGTTTGGCAATCAGCTTGTTGAAAAATGGTATCTCCATGTATTGTTAATCTGTGTTTCTTTTATTACTAGTGAAGTTTAACATGTTATATTTATAGATTTTTAAAATTTCTTTTTATGTGAATTGCCTCTGTACATATTAATTTTTCTGTTAGGTTGTAGTCATTTTATTAACTTGTAATCATTTTTTTAAATTAGGAAAATGAGCTTTTTCTGATACTAATTACTTTTTTTATGGTTTGCTATTTGCCTTTTGACTTTCCTTCTAGTGGCTTTTGCCATATGGAGTTTAAAAAAATTATGTGGTTGAATTTATCAAAACTTGTAATGCCTTCTGGGTCTTTATCAGTGTTAGAAGGACCTTCCCACTCTAAAAGTTATAAAAGAATTCGTCCATGGCTTTTATGCTTTTGGCTTTTCCATTTAAATTTTTGAACCATTTGAAATTTGAAATTGCTTGCTGTCAAGGATTTTGAGATCTCTACAACTTTAATATTCTATTAAACTTTATTCTGACATAAACCCGGTCTATCTTACAGAGATGATGTAAAGATCTAGCAAGAAAAAACACATGTGAAAACATTTTAAGCTATATAACAATGCCCCGAAGTGTCAAAACCCACAGGAATAAAAATCTTATGCTCATAGTCAGATTCTTAGAGGATATCTTTTTAGAGTTATTGTGTAATTGATTGATAATAAATAACATGTGTGTGTTCAGTAAAGAAGGCAGAAATGAAGTTACTTTAAGCTTGGAAGGAGTCCATCAACAACCCAATCAGTTAAGAGTTTCTGTAAATACCAAAGCACATGAGATTGTACCTTCGTAGTTGATGCAGCCATTGGAGTCTTCTTGACCTGCCATCAAGGCTTCCACTTCTTCCTCTTTCATTTTTTCACCTGATGAAAGAAAAGTCTTTGTTCAGAAAGAAGCCCAGAGGACATTTTCAAAATTTCACTGTAAGTGATCAGTTTGGGGTTCCTTAGACCTATGATTAAGCTCTTAGAGGATAGAAATCAAGCCCATCCTGTTCTTCTGACACTTAATCCATTGTTAATGAATTGTGTTTAAATGAATGAATTAAATACTAATTATATCTGATCATCTAAGCTCTATCCTATATGGATTAGAATACTTGGCTTTACTTATTACTAGTTACTTAAGTTACCATTTTCCCAAAACAATCTTGTTGACACTGAGGTCAGTGGAAATGGTCATTAATTTTTGACTATTCTTTTTTACCTGTAGCTTTCTTCCCCTACCTATTTTGTAATAACTTGACTCCCCTAAGTCATGCTCTTTTCTATATATCCTGTCCTATGAAGCTGACTGAAATAAATTTTCCTTACCCAATGTGGCTAGAACATGACGGAGTTCAGCACCCATGACTGTGCCATTGCCTTCCTTGTCAAAGACACGCAGGCCCTCAACAAAGTCTTCATATGTGCCCTGGTCCTTGTTGTTGGAAATAGCTTGCATCATGGGCAGAAATTGTTCAAACTCAATTTTCTTGGCATTCATCTCTGGAAGAAATCACAATGTGGAGAGTTATTAGCTACCATAAAATGTCATCTCTGAATCACAAATTAAACTTGAAAGTTCATTCCAGCTGATCTAAAATATCTTCATATAGCTTACATTTCAGTTAGTAAATGGCTGATGACAAAAAGTTGGTAATAAATAATAGCTTGAGCTCTGGAGTCCTAGTGCTTAAGTTTTTACCACCAATCCACCATTCATAATTGAGTGATCATGGGCAACATTCTCAACCTTTATGTACCTCAACTTTTTCATCTGTAAAATAAAGATTCCTCATAGTGTTAGTTTGAGTGCTAAATGAGATAACACATGTGGAATTTATTACAATATCTGCGACAAATTGAGTGCTGAGTAAGTGTTAACTACTTTTTATTAATATTGTCAACTTAATATTTTCTACAAATACTAAAGAAGCAGTGTAAAAATATACAACAAACTCATTTGCATATAAATATAGTAAAACTTAATTGAACTTTAATATGTATCCCTCTTGCCCTGAACTTTTATAGAGCTTTAAACTTCTTTAGATTTTAATAAAAAAGGAGCCTATGAGGAGAGTATGTATGTCAAATACCTTGTGACTTCCTGACTTCTTTGCAGTTTAGAGGCTTGGGGATGGTAAGACTTTCTTTGGTGTCTTCTAACAAGGTAAATTGCATTCACAACAAAAGTGTAAAACAGACTATCCATATGTAGGTGAATTAATAAAGTTTGTAATGCTAAAGTCAAAATTACTTCTATTTTCATAGAATGGAAATTGAATAATATTGAAAAGATCACATTTGAGTGTTGAATAAATAAACATTTACCTAATAATTCTATTAAAGATAGATGTTTGGTAAATTACAAAATGGCATTTACAAAATAAGATTTGGCTTATCATTTTCTCACTTTATCTCAAGTTTTCAACTACCTTTTGCATGATTTACATAGACACTTTCCTCTAAAGGAAATGAAGTTTGAGAAAAATTCCAGTAGAGGATTTAGAAGTCCATTTGCATGAATTCAAGCTCCACTTCCCCCACTTTGGTAAAAGAAGAAAACAGTCTTCAGTTATCAAGGGGAAAATGGGATTACTTGTTCTCCCCTCCTGTTTTTTTTGTTGTTGTTGTTGTTTGTTTTTTAACACTCATGGCAAAGATAAACAGCTCAAATATCTACTTGAAAAAAATTCAATTTTTTCTCATCATTTTTGTTCAGGGTGGTGTTCTCCAATAGACTATTACACTATGCCATGGACCTTTGGAATTAAAAAAAATATTTTTTTTCCAGACTAATAACTGGGTTACCATATCAAGCAAATGACTTATACAATTTTGCCACTTAAATATCTACTGTCTTTTGTCCCAGGATTTATTCTGGGGGACTGAATGTATGTTTTGGCTTCCATTTTTAAGCCCTCTTGTGATTCTTTGGAAATAGAAAATACTCTCATTAAGATGACATTCTATTTATTCTTAGGAGAGCTGAGTTTCTTTTAAGATGGCCACAGAAGTAGGACATCAAAAGACTGAGCACTGGGCAAAGTCAGCAGGCATTTTCAACCTCTTGACAGCATTGTGATTTTATTTCCACAGCTTTTATCAGAGTAGATCTTCTCTAGAAGTGTGCCATTGTAATTTACTGAGTTGTTCACAAAATGTATTGTGTTTGGGCCACATAAAACACCTTTGTCAAAATATATTTTTGCCTTTGAAGGTTTGGAAAAACTGTGCAGATTTGGATATGATTTTATTCATTAACCTTTAAATTATGGCATTAGATGGAATGATGATGATGACAATGTTAACATTAGATTTTATTTCTTTTCATTGGCATGAAATTTTATCATGCTTGCAAATTCTCAAAGGGAGGTTTACTTATTTTATGAGGAAAAAACTGAGATTCTAGACAGGCAAGAAGGACACTTACCATCAAGAGCAAGTTAAGCTCTATTCTATGGATCTTATTTCTCAATAAATTTCCCTTTCTCTCTCTCTTCCCTCACCCCTTGTGGTATGTGTATGTGTGTGTGTGCGCGTGCGCGCTTGTGCTTGCCTGCATGATCTTGCTTTCCCAACTTCTTGGGAAAACATGGTTACCTTCATTGCTGGGGTTTCCCAGAACCTTCTTGACTTCTGCATTGGTAGGATTTGTGCCCAGAGCCCGAAGGACATCACCGACCTGGCTTAAGGTGATCTTAGAATCTCCTGTTCTGTCAAACAGGAGAAATGCCTCCTTGAATTCTGCAAGAAGCACGAAACGTTAGGCTACATTTTCTCCCTTAGACCTATAAATTACCCCTAATTTCATCAAGGATCCAGTTCAGGGTCCTCTGTGTTTCACCTTTTGCAACCACTTATTGTTATCTTATCTTTGGACTCTCCCTTTTCTTAGCTCAAACAGTCATTGACAATCCTTTTTGACACTTCTTTTGGAGACTATTTTAAAGCAGCATTTCCAGCTTCATATCACATATTATTATTAATCAGATATGGACATTGAAGCTCCTTGTCATATTTATTCATATTTCCTTCATCTGCCTGAGAAGCATACCTGGATTAAGAAATTCTGAGGTCTTGAGAAACCTTAAGAACTCCTCATAATTGAGAAAGTTAATAAAATTTCAAGAAAACAACTTTTCAGTCAGGGTTGTGGTACAAGAGGTTATCCCAGATTTCCCAAATTATTTAGAAAAACCTCCTCTTGAGGCACAAATTTCTTAGACTCTCTCCTTGACTAGTTATCTTCTGGAGCAATTTTATTTCTCAGAAAAGAAAATTAGAAAGGTGAAACAGATCTCTAAGTTCGATAGTGTCATTTAACCACTATAGTGTATGACTTTAATGGGCTCCTAGTGTAATCTATTCAAAAGAAGAAATATTTGTTTAGAACTGTCACCATCATAATCTGTTTAAACTTTATTCTTTTTCAGATAATACGTATGACAGCATGTTGCTATATTGGCTTTAGAATTTAAGTACACATTTTTTAAATTAAAATTTATGCAGATAATTGTAAATTCACATGTAGTTTTAAGAAAAAAAATACAGACAGAGCTCTTAAATACTCTATCTAGTTTCCCCTAATAGTAACCTTTTGCAAAATTATGGTAATATTGTCACAAACAGAATATTTACATTGATAGAGTCCATCAATTTTGTTCATATTTTTCTAGTTTTATTTGAACTTCTATGTGTGTGCATAAGTACATATTTTTAAAGTGTTATCTATTTTTATCCCACTCACTCTTGCTAATTTTTCCTAAATTTTGTCATTTTATGTTGATCGAATTGTTTTTGCCTTTCAAGATTATGTTAACAAAGAATTTAGAAGTATATACCAAAAAGATAGAAAAGGGTACTACTATGGATTGAGGTGCAAGAAATGACATTTTAACTGAAACTTCTAAATTTAACTAAATTAAACTTCCCGGAGAACCCAGCAGTACTGATGGCAACTTGTTGGAATTAATCCCAGCAACACTCAAAACAACCACATTTTGATGAGCTGGTAGAGCTGAAAGCAGTGTTTTTAAACCATTGGTGGCCTTGGATCAAAAGATGCCATCTAGATAGATTACTCAGCAAAATACCCTTTTTTATCATCCCTCCATCCCCTGATGTAAGGTTGTGCCAGACATACTCACTATCAACTATAGATTGTGTCTCCATTCTTTGCTAAAATTTCCCCTTCAGATTCTATGCAGTGTGATTATATCAGACCATTCCCTTAACCTAAAAAGTATGCTGCAGGCACAGTGGGATCATTATTTAAATAATATTTTTCATCTTTCTAAGGGAAATGTGAAACTGAACTATTCTTGTTACTGGCTCCATGCTTTCACACACAGATTGCTCAGAGGGCTCACTATTACCCTGGTTAGATGCTGATATAGAAATAGGATTTTATGGGCTGTAATAGAATCTCTCTTACATTAACCCTTTGTTGATTTAAATGCCAAGGACAGACGGATATTGCTCTTCCTACCCCAGATTTTTAAGATTTATTCTCTTGAAGAGTCTGGAATATAGATTAGCAAACTGCTACCTAGGGGCTGGCCACCTGATTTTTTTTTTTAAATAAAATTTGATTAGAATGTAGTCCATTCATTTATGTATTGTTTATTGCTATTTTTAAACCTCAGCAATGGAGTGGAGTTGTTTTCACAGAGACCATACTCCCAATAAAGCCTAACATATTGACAATTTGACCCTTTAAGAAAAAATGTAACAGCCTCTGGTCTAGACCAACACTAGAAACCTTTTTATGACAATCAAAATGTTCTATATCTGGGCTGCCCCAAAAGTCCCCGGTGGCACCTAAGCACTAAAATATGAGCAACTGAGAAAATAATAGATGATTCAATGTATTTAGTTTTAGTTAATTAAAATTTAGGTTTAAATGGCCACATGTGGCTAAGTGGCAACTCCACTGGACAGCACAGGACTTAGACCTTTTAGGATGCAATCGTTTCCGCTTCTTTTCCCCTTTCCTTCCAACCTGTGATACATTCAAATGGAGCAGGTATGACCAAAACTCTTTCATCAAAGAACAAGGAAGGAAACCAAGGAAGTTTTCAATCATTTCTGAAAGCATCGTATTTCCATTTAAATTTTAAGTGCTTACATTTGCTTTCCTGGCACAAGGAGAAAACCAGTCCACCACACCAATACTTCCCGAACCTTTATATCTAAAACCTATTTCCTATCTGTAGTTGTAGGTTTAATGGTCAACAATAGTAAGTCCTTCTGTCCTTCTGTCCAACAGTAAGTCTTCCGTTGCTTAGTCCCACCATGGCTTGGCCGTCAAAGTGACACTGTAAATTGGATATTTGGGAGGACTAGGATAAAGTAGCTGATAATGTAGCAGCATCACTCATTAAAAATGCATTAAAAGTCAGACAGAGTATAGTAGAATTACCATTTTTTCAATAAGAAAAAATGGTCCTTTGTAGTATAATTTCTGATGCTCTTGAGTTCTAAGTCATCGAATCACCTGATCTGTCAACATGAGACTGTCAACCATGATGTAGAGACATGTGATTTTTTACTACAGGGAATATCCTTTTTTTTCTTAATTGGTGTCCAGATATGGAATATTCTAGACACTGAAACAGATTAAAAAATGTGGAATTTCTTAAGTAGAGAACCAAGTATTTGAAGAGGTTCTTATTAAACACCTCTAATTATAATTATTTATATATGCTGTCATATAACCCAGTTTCCCCCCTCCCTTCTTTATATGTAATTTCTGTCTCAGTTTGTTTGAACTTGTGACACTTTCACTCCATAAAACACCCCTCACTATGCTTCTAGTGAAAAAACAAACCCTGTGGGGAATGGGATCTCTTGGATCCAAAGACCTGAAGGAGAAAACATCGAAATACTAGGGAAAGTACTCAGCTTCTCTTGAATCTCAAGAATTTCAAATCTTCTAGTTAGTAACTGTTTTTATGGAAGAAATTTCTAATTAGCTTAAACCGATACCAGATTTTGAGACTGTTACTAATACTTTGGGTCATTGAGCAAGTCTTATCAGCTCTCTGAGAGCCCATCTTGTATCTCTAAAGACCGACCAGGAGATGTCTAATGTTCCTTGCATAGTTTTATGATAAACTACTCCTTTTTTTGTCTCTGAAATCACTTTTATTCTATATTCACTTCACTTGTTTCTCTCAACTCATTGTGATGCCCATTGAAATTATGTAGGTTTAGTAATTGGGCAGGTTCGCAATCAATATTATTTTCTAAACTGAACAATTGAGTCCTGTCAAATCTTTCTTTAGGAATTTGATGAACAGATTAGACATTCAAAATCTACAACTTTTTTGGGGTTTAGGTATGGTATTGGCTACTCTATCAAAATGGTTTTACTTAGAACAGTGATTGCAAAGACATATTTTATGGTGTCTATCTTTTGTTTGCTTAAACGTTTGATTACTGATTATAAACAAAGGGTTCAAACTGAGAAAACTTCTATTTAGAGTGATTGAGAACACTTATATTTAGAGTGGCTACACCAGTGGGAATAATTAGGAAGAGGTAATCTCATCTCAGGGGAGTCAGTTTTCTCACATGCCATCTTTATGAGTGTGCACATATTAACAACTGTATCTTTTAAACTTACCATCCTGCTGTTCCTTAGAGAACTCGATCTGTTAGAAAGAAATTAACCACAAAGAATATTTTAACCAAACAAAAATGTCCTGATTTTTAAGTGCATCCAAGCTTATTCCCTGAGTACTCTTCAAAGTGGGCTCCAAAAAGAAGCCTACTTGTCAGAGTTCAGGCATAGCTTGGACACTAACAGGTTGAGCCACACAGTAACATGTCTTAGAGATAAGGGATATTTCAGAAACCAGGCAGTGCTCTGCCTACATGGAGTAGAGAAGCTCAGTTCACTTACCAGCAATCTGGTCAGCGCTGAAGGACTGCAGTGGTGAAGGAGAGGGAGAAAGAAAGAAACAACTAGTACTCTTTCAAATGCATTGACAGAAGGATGAGTGCTCTCTGTTCTGAGATTTTTAGGAAGACATGTAGGTGTCATAGAATAAGAAGGTGGTCTTAAGATACTTTGGAATCTAGGAAAAATAAGCTATTGCAAAGGATAGTTAGGGAACAGCTCTCTGCATCTTAATCAATGAATCAATGATTTAACAAATACTAAATCAAATACTTCCTGGAATAACATAATAGTCTGTGATGTATTTAAGATCTGTCTAATACAGATATGTTGAATTAAGAAATACAGATATACTTCATTTAAAAAGATTACCTTAAGTCTTTCTTCTATTTAAGTAGTAGGTTTTTGCTTGACCATGAGTCCGATGTATCAGAAATAGCTTACTTATTTTAGCTGTCTTCATCAGACTGTTTTTAAAAGTATAATATTTTGCTACAGTAGCAGTTTCCCCTCCCCCATGTTTAGATATAATAAGCCTTCGGTCATATAACAAAAGTTAGTGAAGCATAAAGTACTGCTTTGGGGAGTAAGATGTACTTTTTCGGTTAGCATAACAGCTTGAATTAATCTCTTCTATCCTCACCCCACCTCAATAAAAAGCAAAAGTAGATTCTACAGACTTAAACTGAATATGTTCTCTCCTTAGTTCTGTTCCTTGTCTGCCTTACTACTCAATACGGTCATATTGACAACTCTATCCTCCTATAAAGGACAAAGAGTTTTCTCACAGGACCCACCATGGCAGAGCTCCTGGGCTGAGGAACAGCGGCAAAGCTGAAGAGTGAGTTGAGGGCCGCTCCAGTCCCTGAGTGGGGCCTCCTTGCTGAGGCTGCCTTTTATTTCTGGGGAAGCTGTGACCTCACAGTTAGTATCAGGTTTCAGAGAGAAGTGGCCACTCCCTTTGGAAAGTTCTTTAGCTTTCTTAGGGCAAAGGGAAGGAGGGCTCTGCACCCTGAAGGCTATTTTTAGGAAACCAGAACCTAGGAGTGGGCAGCCATAGTGAGATGAAGCCTGTCAGTACTTTTATGGTCTTTAACCCCGAGATGTTCTCTTAGAGCCTCTTCCTTTAAGAGGCTTCTTACTTGTTCAGTGGCAGAGGAGCTTAGAATTTCTTGAACACTCAAGCTGACCCCTTCTCTAGGTGAATTATGGACTTTGCAAACTTTGAGTCAGCAAGTTTTGATGTTTAATGGAATTTATTGGATGGGACTGGGTTGGGGTTTCAAATGGCAATTACTATAGCAGGAACAGCCTACTGAGCTCTGTCCCTAGTGGTAAAGTTCAGAGGGCTTGAAAAGACCATACATGTTCTTCTTGTATTTTAGGGTTCACCCAAGTAAGGATGTGGTCAGTTCTTGAAATCTCTAATTAAAGACCACTCTTTTGCAAGTTGTGTTCTCAGATGTAGAGAGTTTATCTAAGCCAAGATGGTTCAAAGCTCCATTTTCACCATTCTCCCTTAGTTTTCTTATAGTAAAGTGGGTATTTTCCTCCATCCTCAGTCTCCAGACTGAGAACCAGAAAGACCCAAAGCAGGGGCTTCAGAGTGCTAGATGGCATGTTAGGGTTTTGAAGTTGGCACTAAGGGATTGGCTGGTAATGGGTTTTCATGGCAACTTACCTGAGAATATGAAGGAACTCCGTTCATAGAATGATACTGTGAAAAGTGGTACTCAGGAAAGATCAGTCCTAGAATGTCCACTAACGTTCAGACAACATGTTTATCATTTTTCTACATACCTAAAGCAGCTCATACGTGTAAAGAATGTTGGAGATAAATTTTGATTCAAGTGTTGTCTCAGAAACCATTTTTAAGGGAATGGTCACAAAAACCATGAAATCTTGGTTTTCTAGACAGAAGAATACTCTGTGACTTTCTTGCAAGACATTTAGGAAGAAATCAACATTTAAATGCATATCGCTTTTTGCCTAAGTTTACAAGTATTGAAACAAATTTCATAGGGTATTAAGTCCCAGAGTGAGGACTAAAAACATAATTTAAAAAATATTAGTACCCAAGAAAACATATTTTAATAAATAGACAGTTTGATAATTTATGAGAAATGAGATTTAATAGAAAAACTTAGATGCTTTGAATCATTAGGGGAAATGGAAGGGTGGGACAAAAGTGGAAATTTCTAACCTTTGATAAGTGTGTAATTTGGAGTCTCATGGGTTTTGATGCCTAAATTAAACCCATGAGAGCAGACCATATTTCTCTGTGTTCTTTTTAGTCTTTAGTCTTGTAATTATATTTAGATATTATGTCATTAAATTTAAATTGCCTAATGGTTAACATTGAGAACTAGTGCATATGTTTAGTGGAACTAAAAACTACAAATAATACAAAAGAAATCCATCAAGGTTGCACTACAGAATGCCTATCATTTGCCCTACATAATGCTCATTTTCATGTTTTTTTTTTTTTTTTGAGTAGAAATATGTGTCCTTGAATACATATAAAATATGGTCAATTTGTATAAAACGTGTGGAGTAAACTGGAGAAAAATTTTAAAAGTTGCATTTATACTATGATTACACTATTCCTAACCACTTGAATATTATGTAAAGGTTTACTATTATTGAAAAGAAGTGGCAAGTGACTGTCAAACAATTTCACTCTACTTTCTCTGTATAATTTTACCACATAGAAGATGAGAGTTTGGATTTTTCTATACCTGTTGAGAATCAAAGTAAACATTTAAGCAAGCTATTGATAACAGTAGAAAAGGTGACAGTGTATTCTAGCCTAGAGAATAAACTATAGTTTAAAAGTTAAAAGATCTGAATGCTGTGGTCATAGGATAAATGGGGAATGTTACTTATTCTCTGGTACACTTCTACAAATGATGAAAAGTTTTCTTTGCATCTCTTTCTTGGTGTTGGAATGATGAAGTAATCAGCTCTTTGAATAAAGGCATGATGTAAATACAAACTGTCAGCTGATTTTGGCCTCCATTTGCTTTGTCATCATTTGGTTTGTTTTAAAAATTAGATTTAAGTGAATTCTATCTGGAATGCTCCCCTCTCATCTCTGTTTCTTAGAAATTAACTATTCTTCAAAGCCCTGATAAAATCTCCTCTTAAAAGAACCTTTTTTCTCTATTTACTTAGCTCCTTTCTTCCAACTGAAAGACATTTAACTTCTTAGTTGCAAACTTCTGGTAAGTGCAGGCCATTACTGAAAGCCATTTACTTCTGTCCATGATGCAAACTGGGCATGGCCCCACCCCAATTTTTTCCTCCTAGAGTGCTTCCTCTGTCTTATTATAACTTATTACCCATAGCCCTATAAAATACCTTGCCTATATTAGTTGTTGAACAGATTTTCAATAAATTAAAATCATTAGAGCATATGTATAGTAAGTTCTGACTTCAACATGATTTTATATAAATGTTTATGTTTAGGAATTCTAATTTGCCAACCCTCGATCTTTGCTTTTCCATCTTAGCCTACATACCTATATTAAATTATTAGTACAATAGGTATAGTCCACATTTTTGTGACTCTTGTGCTCTTTAGTACTGGATTTAAGTAAGTAGTAGCTTACAAGGGATTGGTAGTGAAAAGGATTTTTATTGCAATGCTCACAGATGTTTTCTCACCTTGAAAAACATTTTTCAATTAATAATCATGATGTTTGATTAACTGATTAAAGACAAGATAAAGCTTCTGGTATACAGAGGGAATTAATTTATAGGGAAAATATTAAATGAATTTAACCAAACAGGCTCTGAAATTGTTGTATGTTAAGCTCTAGTATATCAAAAAGAGCTATAATTAAGGATGATCTGGGAGATCCGTGATGATGAATACTGAGAGAAAATGCCCTAGGAAGGAACATAGACTATAGTCTTTAACCAACCTTCATCTTCCCTGCAAGACATAATGAGACTAATGACTAGTAAGTAAAGAAGTTAATCTAAGCAGGGCCAGTTTTCAAGCAAGAAAGCATTGCTGCATGTTCTCAGATTTAATGCCTAGCAGAGAAGCATTGAAAGACCTAGGATGTATGTAAAACCTAAGAAAAACTTAGATTATTAATTTTCATTCTAATCTCACAGAGTTACCACGAATCACCATAAAAAGCCAACAGAAACACTGTTTTGTGCCTCAGAGTAACTCATTTGATTGAAAGGAGATGCATATTTTTCATTGCATTTTTTATTTTACCTCAACAAAGGATATACTTTAGCTGGTTACTATACTATGATATAAAAAAGATAAATTAGAACAATGAGACTACAATAACAGCCCAGGCTCTCTAATATAAGAGAGAGTAGATGGCTGTATTGGATACATTGATCTGAACAGAAGGAAAAATGAGTAATTCTATGCTCAGAAAGTGTGGACTTGTCAAGTGAATTCAGTCACATTGGAGCAAAGGCTGAATTATCAAGATAACACAATTTAGACCTGCAAGAATTAATGAGAAGCCCAAGTGAATTTTAATAAAAATTAAAATGTGTGGCCTAAGTCTATACTTCTTCAGCTTACCTATGGTTAATAATTGATAAATTTAAGATTTCTTAAGGGTTGTACCTTCTCTACTTTGTACATTTGTTTGTATGCAATTTATTAAAAATCCAAGTCATGTTTTTGTTTCTTCCTTCCTCTTTTTATTTAAAAAATGTGAGCATTTGGAAAATTCTTGGTGTGTATGTTTTAAGAAATTTAGAGTATCTGCTTTT